GAATATAGATCTTCTAGGCCCCACCTATGTGCAATTCATTTCGCTTTCAAAATCAATAAACATTCCTTCCCATTTATCGTTGAATTACCGGAGCTAACCTAAACATCGCAGCGATAGACCGCCTACACACTATTGTCCATTAACCGCAGAATTTATTAACAACCGTAATACAGCTTAAAATTTGAAATACAATTTCGAAGAAGTACGTTCATTGCAATTTAATAATGAGAAACGAGACTGTTAATTTTTTTCACGCTGGTACACCCCTTACACGGCACCCCGTATAAACACGAAGCCCCGCGCCTCGGATATTGTTATTGACTCTCAAACCGTAACTCGTCTTCCGGAGTATTCAATGGCCGCAGGCAGCTACCCTCGACGTCGAAGGGTCGTAACGGTGAATTTTCATCGCGAGCTCGTTGTTACCGTTCAGTGGCTGGCGCAAGATCGGGGAAAATGCAAAAATCTCGGCGCGCAGTAGAAAAATCATGCTCTTTGTCAGCGGGTTCATATTATACATTGCGCATTCAGTGAATAACATCTGCTTAATCGCACAATGGGCACACGGGGTACGCGTTCCGTTGGTTCTCTTTTATTATAGGGTCTCAAAGAGTACGACGTAGGACCTGAAAAGGGTCCCTTTCCCCCCTTGAGTCAGGGATCTTTAAGACGGTCTCAGCCATCTGCCCTTTTCTGGGAGAGGGAAAGGCTAGGAGGCTGCCTCGGCTAGAGAACGAGGAGTTTGCACGTGTCCTTTCAGGAAGGGATCTCATTGTGATCGACGCGCAAAACGGGAAGTGACAATTGACATCTGTCTCGCGTTATGCAGGATTTTCTGGGTCGAACTATTTTTGAAACGGCATATGACAGGCCTACGGCACACACTCTCGGCCCATAAAGATGTTTCCTAGTGATTCAAGGGGTGTTGAATATAAATAGACGATCTATTCGATTCGTTTCCACCTCGCGCGTACTGCAGAGGACAAAAGCAAACGGTTGAGAAGTTCGTTAATGAAACATGCAACTTTTGTGTTATTGATTGAAACGGAATAAAGGTTGTTTTGGTAAATTACGTGAGGGGGCAGTGATTTGTTAATTGCTTTTGTTTTGATCAGCATAGTAGAAAGCATTTTGGTTGTATTTTGAATAAGGCTTGTTTTAAGACGGTGACTGCCATAGTGGTCACTAATGACCAGAGGTTCAAAATAGCTTGAAAACAATTATAATTCATAAGACAATTGATGTCGAATAAAAATATTCAATGACGTAAATAATTAGATAATATTGTAACGTAAGAATTGTGATAGCAAATAATTAATAATTATTCCTATTTATCTTTGTTACGAAGGTGTAAGTGCTACGTAAAACGATGATGTTTTTCGTGGCAGTCAACGTGTTAATGAGTGCTTTATATTATAGCATTCCGTAAATCCAGCGTTAATGAAAGACAAAGATGTACTTTTACAAATATGTGATGTTTTTTTAAAATGGAAGTTTTAATTATCTGTACAGTAAATTGATCTCATGTTATTGATTAATTAGAAGAAATAGTTAAGAAAAAATTTTAATTTCAATCGGTTGAAATATAAATTGTTAGGCTTGGAGTTATTCCATTTCATCGAGACGTATGTTTATTGTGTAGAAGCACAGTCATTATGCGTAATCACAACGAATGTAATTCTGTCGATTCAGTTATCACGGTGCGCAATATGCAGGTTATTTTCGTTCTGGACCATAGTAATCTTGCGAGCGGTGGCGATGACTCCTAATCGTATCATTCCGCGGCTGAACTGCGACTGTCATTTTGGAAACATTCGCCGCGATCAGTAGTAAATAATGAACGTCGATATTCCTACGATACGCAACTACGAATTACGTAAATTATTGTATCATTCGTACGATATACCAATTATTACGAGTCCATTGACTTGCTTAGGTACACGTTTATACTGTACAATCAAAATGAACACGTTGGTGCACCTTCAAATGATTAATGAGCCGTTACTGTTTATTCGAATTGACGTTTTCATAAGCAAATACTTACAAAAGGTAAAATTAACAATAAATTAATTCTTCTTATACTTTGTTGTACATCTGTAGATTCAAAGTTAACATAAATGTATAAGATCAGTAATAGAATTATTAACCTTACTTTTCTAAGATTACGTTTTCGTATATTAATTTTTGCGAATAAAAATTATCAAGAAATTCGGATTTTTCATTGGCAAAAACTTGGCTTAAAAGATAATTATTATTTTAAGCTTAATGTTAGAAATTTAAATATAAATTTAAACTCTGATTTGACTAATATAAATATTTCAGTTCTTTTGCGATGAAGTGAATAATATGCATTTCAAGGACTATCATTTGGTCGTAAGGAAATCCTTTAATTATAAATGATGATATAAAATTACTTAAAATTGAATTTTTTAAATTGATTGATAATTCTAACATATATATTTATTCATAATATTTTGGTATTCATTGTAATTTTAAGGTTGGTGTAGTCTACACCTGATCATACCCGGGTCTAAAGAGGAAAAACATCAGCCTCTTTAGCTCAGTGGCAGAGCACTGGTCTCGTAAACCAGGGGTCGTGAGTTCAAACCTCACAGGAGGCAAAAATTCTCTTTTTGTTGTGGTTACATTTTTTTTCTCACAATGATAAGTTGTAGTAATGACTTGTGAGTACTTTATTAAATTCCCGCCTTGTGCAACAAGATTTTTTATAAATATTCTTCCTTCATTACTGAATTTTTAATTGTATATAAAAAATCATACATTATTTGATGATACTCAAAACATTTTCATAATGGAAATCGTAAGGAATTTATATATAAACTTACTAATTATTAATATAACCGTATATTTCTTACTATATAAATTTTATCTTGATACATACGTTGTCCATACGTCTTTAAAAAACATTATATGTGTTGTTCACAAAATGAGATAGAATTTATTATTGAAATTGTTCGTGTGATTCAAACAGTCATGGTAGAGTCTTTTACTGGCAGTACCAAGATGGCGGCCATCATCGAACGAAACTGATTCAACGTAGTATCTCTTTCTCACGCATATACATTATTCTTTCATTTTAATGATCTTTCTCAAAGCATTTTGTTACAATTTACCTAATTATTATTTTATACATTTGATTCTTTCTTTTTGTATTCAGTGTCAAATGTTTAAGGTTGACTTCTGATTAACAGTGAATTCTTTTTCTCCAGGACGTAAATAGGTACTTACTCATTGCACTCGTACACCTTTTCGGTAGGATCATTCAATTTCGCTGTAAATGTGTCATATTCTTATTCATATTGTAAACACACGACCTATTATTATGAACAAAATTGCATAATTGGAAAATTCAATTCAAAGTTTCTTTAAATAATATCGAAGAACAATTAAAGTTACCACTGTACAACGTACATATATTCACATACATTTCTATAATTCAAATATTCCTAACTCAAATTTTCATATAAACAATTTAATTATTGCAACATCTTCCTGGTACTATCATAACAAAACACATTTAACCCTTTGCACTCGAAAGTTTTTCACGAGAAATATTGAACATATTCTGACGAGATGTGGGCGACA